CTATTCTACTCAGTAGCTGTCCTCTTTAAACCAAAGCACACGAGCCCCCTACTTAGTTGGCAGAGAGGAACTACTGTGTTTGAAGTCTTCTGAGTGGCCTTCGGAAGCTTTATAATTGTATCTGACTTCCTTTGTTCCACACAGTCTGTTTATTTGACTGTAAATAAAGTGCCAGTTACAGACAGGAAGTGGATTTTTACTTGCCCGACTATTCTCTCATCATAATTGTTAGGTCACAATGCAGAAGTCCATCACCAAAAGCTATTAAAGTCCAGATAGTGAATTAGTTTTCTTTATTTCAAGATTCTTAAATTATCAAAGTTCATTGCCTGAGGGCAGCAACAGATACTGAATCTTGCCAGCTTAGAATATACAGTACTTTGAACCTAGATGGTTCAATGATTGGCCCCCTTTTAATGCATAAGAGACCCTCTTATTCTGGCACAGGCTTAAAATAGGTCTGAAGCAAATTTAGTATTTTCTCTTTTTTTTTTTTTTGGCTACAAGTAGTTGAATTTCTTGCTCTGAATACTGTATTTATATAGAAGTACAAAATAAATAAAAGATGGCCTTAGAGTGTAAGCACTATAAAAGATGGAGGAAAATGGCAGGAAAATGCATTGTATATTGCAGCAAGTATCTATTTGCTAAGCTCCAGCCAAGTAAGATTTGTGTGGAGTAGATCTAAAAATCAAAACCCTGCTAATAATTATAAAAATGCGGAGTTTAAAATTACTGTGATTGAAATATGCTGAAACTATAGCTGATAATGTTTGTGGTGAGTCAGTATATTTGCCATTTTTTCTGCTTTAATTTTGCAAAGCAGTCATGAGTGCAAGGCAAAGCTGATCTGTAACAATACTGCAGATAACAAAAACATGCCTTAAGAGGCTGGAGTTTCTGGTTGCTTTTTTGCTCTTTTCTTCTTGCTGTCCTTTACTAGCTGCCTGTCCAGGAAGTGAGGATGATAGAGGGAATTTTGATGAGAGACCTGTGGTCTGGCAGACACTTTTCTCATTAGTGCAAGTAGAAATTGTTGCCCTCAAAGACTAGTCTGTTGATGCTGCAGTACTCCAAATGATTAAAAAGAATAAAATCAAGCCCCAGTGGTAAATAGGAAGGGTGGATGAAATGTTTCGGTGAGGAGATAGGGTGGGAAGCTAGAAAGGGAAAAAGAGCATGGCTTCTTGGGCTGGGACAAAGGCTGGACTCGATGATCTTCAAGGTCTCTTCCAGCTGAAACTATTCTATGATTCTCCAACCTGTGATGAGACCCAGAGGAGCTGCAAGGAGCTGAAGCATCCCCAGGCTGGGACAGGCAGTGTCTTTCCTTCTTGGAATCAGCTTCCATCTTGAAGAAGGCAGGACCACAAGAGCAGTCCTGAAAGGTTCAGGGAGGAATGCTGCAGCACCTATGGGATGTCAGGAGTGGAGGTGGATAGGCAACGTGTAACGCAGCACGTTTTGACTCATGTCTGACTTGTCACAATGCCCTAGGGCTATTCGAGCCAGCACAGGACTTCCCTTCAGGTTGTTGGTTGTGACACCTGATCTCTGTATTCAGTTCTGGAAATATTTGCCATGGCCATAGCATTTAATAAAATCCTCACACTGGACAAAATTCGGAAGGTCTTCCATATATTTTCATGGAAATTGGCCAACATACTTAGACAGAAGGTGTTTGGAAATGTTATAGTTTGACCAGTGGTGTGGTTTGCTAATAACTATGTGACAGAGTCCAGACAGTAAGGAATTTTTCCTCTAGATGTTATAGAATCATAGAATGGCCTAGGCTGGAAGGGACCTTAGAGATCATTTAATCCAACCTCCCTGTCGTGGGCAGGGATGCCACCTCTCAACTAGATAGGGCAACACATGGGGACTGAATGGGAATCGAACCCGCGACCTTGGCATTGTCAGCGCCATGCTCAAGCGACTGAGCTATTGGATTTGGAGTAAGACTGGAAATTTTTATTGCTCTAGGGTACTTTTAGCTCTTCATTCAAAAGCTAGGGTGTATTTCCATGTGCACCATATACCTTGAGGAGTTATTCTTCTTCAGTGTTTCCGCGCCAGATGACAGTGCAGCATAGTCTCCTGTGGCCTCTGAGAATCGGGTACAGCTAAATTGCGCTTGATTTCTGACTGAAGATAATCTAAATTGAAGACAAGAGACTCAGAAATAGACCTGGGATGTGGCATGAGCAAAATATTTTGATGAAATGCATGTATATTAGTTCACAAAAGAATACTGGCAATAAGCAATCTCTCTCTCAGCTGCTCTTCTACCACTTCTCAAAACCCAGACTTGAGCTATGAATATATGTAGTTGTGTTTAGTGTCAAAAGTATTGCAAAACACAGAGTGATATGTCTCTACACATTCTTTTCTCCAGCCTTAAATAACATGAGTCAGGAAACATATTTATCTCTAAGGATGTTTCTCAAGGAACTATACTTTTAGCTAAGAGTGATTGCTTGCTTTCCAGAGGCCAGCTGTAGATAGTGGTTGTTTGAAATAACTGATATACGATTTCCTGTTTTGAGTTTGTAGTAAAAAAGTAGTAACTCTGTGAGTCATATTTAGTCTTCTGCTAGTAATGCTTGTGTTTTCAAAGGTTCGAAATTCATTGAAATTTTTCACGTCATGAACTTTGCCTACAAACCTGCAGTCATGATTTTTATGTTCTCACCATGATGTTATTATTGTTATTACTATTGCAGCCAAGCTACTGTGATGGGCTATTTTATGCTGATATAATCCCTGTTAATGCCTCTTCCAGAGCCCATTTTGGGACCTGTAAGAGCGTTATACCAAGAGTAAGCTCTCTTCCTATCAAAACTATAGAAACACTTAGATTTTAAGCTTATATTTTTAAGATACCAAAGGTCAGCACATCCTCCTTAGATGGTGTCTGTTGTAAGGCATTGTCATATAGTCTGCCACTTTACTAAACAATGACTCATACTGAATAACTGTAGTCAGGCATATTTTGTGGGTAGAGCACATAAAACTAATTCTGTCTGGGCACACAGGAAGGAAGGAGAGGTGTATGAGATGTTTTTTTAACCTCTGAGCAGCTTCTTGAACCTGTCTCACCTGGAAACCTCGGGCAGTAACTGCACAGTGCAGCCACAGGTCGTGATTTCTTCTATCACTGCCATTTTTGGAGAGTTGTCAGGTACCCTAAGGTGTTCCTCAGATGGGCTGTAGCTTGTTTCTCAGCCTTAGTCCTTCTTCCTCTGATCTGGGGGAGGAGTTACCTACTCAGGGCTCTTAGGGGACTCCAGCCCTTTTGCTTCCCCTTCAGTAGTGGGCATTCTCCTAGATGTCCACCTACAACTCTTGATCAGAAAGAAATTAGGTCCTTTATGAATGAGGAGTGGGCCCCTATGCCTTGAAAACTCATGATACTTAAGAGCCTTATCCCCAGCCCACACTGCTGATTCCCCCCAAAACGGCGTGGAGTTGCATAACCTTATTCCTAGGTATGCAGTGCCCAATAAAAACCAATTAATACCATGACAGCAAACTGAAGTTTTAGTATTAAGTGTCATGATTTATTAATGCAATTCTAGCTTGCATGTTTGTATTCCTAAGTTTTCCTGTTTGGAAAACTGTTCAGCCTGTTTGGACTGAAAACAAAAGCTTATGGTGTGATAATGAAATGACTCAAAAATGTAGGGTTTCTGAAGTAGGTAATGTGATTTTTGTACCTGTGCTTCAAACATTAGGGTGCAGATAGACACTAGAATAAAAGCAGTATTAGCACTTACAGTCAGTGCATTTTCATTTTAATGAAAACTGGCTGAATGGCCAGGCCCAAAGAGTGGTGGTGAGTGGAGTTAAATCCAGTTGGCAGCCGGTCAGAAAGGATGTTCCTCAGGGCTCAAGATTGAGGCCAGTTCCATTTAATATCTTTATGAGTGATCTTAACAAGAGGATCAAGTGCACCCTCAGTAAGCTTGCAGATGACACCCAGCTGGGCAGGAGTGTTGATCTGCTGGAGGATAGGAAGACTCTGCAAAGGGATCTGGACAGGCTGGATCTATGGGCCAAGGTAGAAAAGGATCTTGGTGTCTTAGCTGACATCTGGCTGAACATGAGCCAGCAGTGTTACCAGGGTGCCAAGAAGACCAGCAGCATCCTGGCCTGTGTCAGCGGTTGTTCCCCTGTATTCAGCTCTGATGAGGCTGCAGCTTGAATCCTGTGTTCAGTTTTGGGCCCCTCACTCCAAGAAAGACATTATGATGCTGCAGTGTGTCCAAAGAAGGGCAACAAAGCCAAAGATGAAGGCTCAAGAGCATGAGTCTTATGAGGAGCAGCTGAGGGAACTGAAGCTGTTCAGCCTGGAGAAAAGGAGGCTGAGGGGAGACCTTATGATTCTACAACTACCTGAAAGGATGCTGTAGTGAGGTGGGGTCAGTCTCTTCTCCCAAGTAACACGTGATAGGACAAGGGGAAATGGCTTCAAGTTGCACCAGGGGAGGTTAGGATTGAGTATTAGGAAAAATTTCTTCACTCGAGGGGTTGTCAGGCATTGGAACAGACCGCCTAGGGAACTGGGTCACCATCCCTGCAAGTATTTAAAAGATATTTAGATGTGGTGCTTAGGGACATGGTTTAGTGGTGGACCTGACATTACTAGGTTAGCAGTTGGACTTGATGATCTTCGAAGTGTTTTCCAACCTAAATGATTCTATGGCGTCCCTGCCCATGACAGGGAGGCTGAATTAAAATGGTCTCTAAGGTCCCTTCCAGCCTAGGCCACTCTGTGATTCTATGATTCTAATGTGCCTCAGCAGGCTGTTGACGTATTTGTCGTGCCATAAGCTTAACTTTGCCTTAAGGTAAAGAAGAATAACAGATGTCTGAATCACATTTCTTGCTTTCCTTCAGCTAAAACATTGTCATTAGTAATGTTGGAACTCCTGTTCAGGCAAACAGCGATAGAGTCATTGATCTCTGTCCACAATATTGTAGAGTGCTAGGCCGGCGTTATGCATGGGCACATGGGTAAAAAGGCTGTTTTCTTCTTGAAAGTGTCAAAGGCTACGTTTTGTTTTCTTCTGTCAGGGGAGCTGGCACAGATGAAGAGCCTTTTTCACTGGCATCAAAATTCTTCTTTAATTGCTTCTGTTCTAACCGTAATCGTTCTGTTAACAGGCATTATTCATAACTGCTGTGAAGCCTACAACGCTGGCCTCCTAGAAGCAAAAATATTTTCTGGTCCGTCAAGAGAGCAGTTTGGATATGCAGTTCAACAGTTTGTAAATGAGCAAGGCAAATGGTAAGCAGATTGAACAGTTTTTTGTATGTCTATTTAAAAGAAAAGATGTTACAACTTGTTTTTTAATAATTCTACATTTTATGCATTATTGTTATACGTAACATATATGTTGGATATTTTTCCATTTTAACATTTTTGAGTTAAAACAAATTATTAGTGCTGGGAAGTTCTAATTAATATTAAAATTAAGTGAACTTAAATTTATATTGTATTGTGTCTAATACAATATTAAGTGTTCACTTCTCAATATCTTCATGTGTAAGATGGCATTTTTGGATGTATATAATAAGAGAGCCCTAGAAAAGGCCTCGTGTCCACTGTATCTCTTTAGCCATAAAATTTGATGTGAAGTCCACTGTTGCCACAACATTGGGCTTGATGACTAATTAGTAAAATATTTTTTCTAGTAAGATTGGTTTCAAAAACTGCTTTAAAATATTAACCCAGAGTAAGCCTCTTTAGTGGAAAACATTGTTTCCTCATCTCAGCAGCCACAAAGCTTAAGGTGTCTTTCATGCCAAGGACTGTATGTCTATAAATAGTTCAGTGGTACTCAGCTACTTTTAAGTGGTTAAGTTTTGTATACATGGTTTTAAGTCTATAGTGTAAAGTCACACAAGTTATAGGGAGGTTGGACTAGATGATCTCTAAGGTCCCTTCCAGCCTATGCCATTCTATGATATACGTTATCATAATCCAAGAAAACTTTTTAGATATGTCATTCTCCATAGATTAAAATGTCAGAACCAAAATAGCCGCAAACTGGCATGTTTGCTTAATTGGTGATGGATGAATAGCAAGTAACTGAACTTTTTTTCAGTAAAAAGAAAGTAAATTGTCAAAATCCTTGGAAATGTGTATGCAAATGTATTTTACAGTTAAAGTTTGGAAAAGTCCATACAAAAATACTGGGGTAAGTGAGCCATTTATGCATAGCCCTCCACAGAGATACTGTGCAGCAGCAATTGGTTGCATATACAAAGATGTAAGACTATCTAGATCTCACGGCATCGCCAGCGTTACAGTGTTTGCCACCAGTGACCAGGAGGCAAAGTAAGATAAGAGCAAAGTGTGTCCTCCGAACTAAGAGCTCAGTGTTTCCTTTCCCTCCTTTGGGTAGGCTTCCAACCTACCCCTGCTCTTTGCCTGATGGTAGCTTCTCACTGTGTGTCTGCCTGTTTTAATTACGTGTTTAGTCACCCATAGGTCAAAGCTTTCTTTTTTTAAATCTTCTGTGTAAAGCCATTGAAGGCGAACATGAATGCCTGCCTGAAGTGAATTGAATGCTTTGGCTTATACATGAAGAAATTATGTCCTGTGTTTTACCCTTCTTATAAGTTTTTCTGTAAGCTTGCAACAGGAGGACTAGGTTCCAGAATTACTCAAGCAATTTATGTTTTGTATTTCCTTGTTTTATTTTTCCTTCTGATATAAAAACTCCACTTCTGATAAAAAACCACCCATTTTCTTGGATAATGTGTAGTGGAGTTTGGGAAAAATGGTACCTTTGGATTAACTTTTCCTATCTTCTCTCAAGTATATGAATACTATAAATCTGGAAACCTTTTTTGTTGATGGCCACTTGGTCATTTGTTCATTCACTGCACAGTGTTTGACCCTAAATCAGGGCAGTTTTATCAGCTCTTGTTCAAGTAACCATGACTTGTTAGAAACTCTTCAGTGAAGAAAAGCTCTTCTCAGTCTCCCTCTCAAAAAATCATTAGACAAGCTTTAAAAAAAGTCAGTCATGTTTTGCTCTCTTGTTCTCCTCATTGCTAGGCTATTTTCTTTTTCTTGGGACAACAGAGCTTTTTCTTGTGTGCTTTATTTAAAAACAGATAAAAACAACAAATTAGCCAAACAACACTCATGCAGAGGCTGCAGTCCATGTGCAGAGCTTCTTGACATGGCTGAAGTAGGAGCGAGATAAACAGTCTGAGATTTGCATAACATCAGGACACTGCTTTCTGTTGGAGGGGAGCATTTATGAATATACATATAAATACATATGCTTTTATGAAGAGACTGTCACTGTTCAGCAAGAATGTGATACGTTTGAAAACTGGGCACAGTGGAGCTGCTCAACACATCAAACACTGCTGGGGTGGCACCTCTCTCCAAGGGAGAGGTTATCCAGCATCTGAGATACAGCAGAAATTTCGTCACTTTGCAGACTTTGCTTCTGTTAATAAGATCAGTTTGTGGTATATTAAATAGAGCTTTAAAAAATTGTCCTGTTCTTTCTCAGAGAGCAGAAAGGAGAGATACAGAAAAAACAGCAGATGCTAGTTATATTATTCAGCTGTATTTCTGTGAGGTGCATCGCTTGAGGCAATAGTGCCATATAAAATGATAAAAAGGAGATTTATTTTTTTTTTTAGAATTGGCACTGCACACATTAATATGCTATTGCTTTTGTTTGTAGATGAGTTCAGGGAGAAGAGGGAAGACAGTTCAACCAGGAGTGCAGGGCTATAGAGGGGGCTGGTATGTGTTGGGAAGCCATGACACAAACCAGCAAGGGAGCCCTTTTTGTGTAGAGTCAGATGATCCAGAATAATTGGACGCTGGTCTGGTGTGCATTGATGGGCATTGATGGCATGTGATGCTCATAAATAAGGACAAACTTGCACAGCTCAAGCTTTTCATGATGTTTGGTGGGAATTTCAAAACAGGAGCTCTTTAATGAACTCAAGGAAAATTGTGAACACCAAAAAACCTCATCAATTAGAAAAGTTCAACCAGTCCACCACACAAGTAATTAGCCACAACAGAAACATCTTTCAGTTTACGCTCTGGTTCTCCCTGTCATGAGATCATCTGCATTTGAACATTAAATTGAGACCAAATTCTCTGCTATTTTATAAACGTAATCTTCTAGAAAGGCGGCTTGTACCCTGTTAAGTTCATCTTGAATGTGTATGCCCTGAGCAGCAGCTGATAGTACATTCTCCAAAGATAACAACACTTACTCCATGCTGAGATTTGGTTTTATATCTTTGTCAGTTGGGGAGTCCGAATAGCTATTAAATGGGTAGCTTTTTTGTACCCATATGTGTCCTCAGTCTGTGAATACATCCCACAACAGAACTGAAATCAGTCTGCTGTTGAGGTACCGTTTGGTACCAAGTTGCAGCACCTTGCTCAGTTCTGTCTGCATGCTTAGGATTTGGAATTCATGAATTTTGTTTTGGAATTTATCTTATGGGATTTCTCTTTTAAAAAACACTTTGTTTCATTCCATATCGTGTGAGTAATGACACTTTAGTATGCATTGCCTGTACTGATTTATCACATAATCATCGCACTACTAAATAGTTCTTAAAACTCACTGCATATTGCTCACTAGTTGTCAAAGCGCAACAGCGTTTCTCATTAAGTGGTGTGTTGCCTCTTCAGACTAATAAGATATTTTGCTGAAAAGACATATTTCTGCAGCAACTTCTGTTGAAATCAATACATTTTCAAAGCCTCCTGATTTTAATGAGGAGGGTAATTTCTGCCAACTTGTCTTTTGAACAAAATGCTGCCATTGTTACAGCTCCATCTTTTCAGTGCCAGTGCTGCTAACGTTGAGTTCTTTGCCCAGCTTTTGCTTCTCTCGACTGAATGCCCTACAGTTTGCCTTTTTCCTGCTTGGAGGAGCAGCTTTGGCTCCCTTCTTCTAGGCCTTTCAAGTTTGTCAGTCAAACTCACTTGCCATAGCTCACTGTTGTTCCTGAAGTCTTGAGTCTTTTGTTCAAAGGATCAAAAGTTTTTAGATGGTGATAAGGTGTGCAGGGAAGCACCTATAAGAATGAAGGGTTTTCTAGTCTTCATACCTATTCATTGCTTCCTGTAATTCTAGGGAAAAGGGCCAGATGATTTAAGAGGTCCTTTCTACTTTTATTTTCCTATTTCCTGTTAGCTATCTTTGTGCTTAATAAAACACACTAAAGAACAAGTGCATGAAAATTAAAAAAAAAAAAAGAAACCAGAAAACATTAAATGTGCTCTGACAACAGCTGGGAATTCAGCCCTTCACCATGAATTCTGGTTTTGTTTTCTGCTACATCACACTTTGCCAGTTACTAGCTTTGTCATGGTGTAATTTCCCAGAAATAATTCCTGTTGCACTTTGATCTGCCACTCCTGCAGCCTGTGTGGTATTGCTGCTGAACTTTATTTGACTTCATGTAGTTCCATGGCTTTGTATACAGTGTTGAAGACCGATTAAGAAGTGGAATAATAAAATCAGTGGCAATATTACATGCCGATCACTATAGTGACAGCCTACAAGGACACATAAGGATGTTTTGTAAAAATAAATATTTAACTTATGGCTGAAAAAGACACTAAATTAATACACTCTACATGATACAGTTTATTTGGAAACAAGTGTTTTCAAGTATTCTAGTACTCATTTCTTGCATTCTTTCCTGATACATCCTGTTTCATCACTCTTCTTCATGTGCATCCTGTTTAATGTCAGTAAAAAATATTTTTCTAGTTAGCAGGATCCTAGCCAGATATGCTCTTGCTTTCTTCACTTTTGATGTTTCAGAAAGATACATACACGTTTTCCCAGAGTGGTATTATGTAACTCTACTGTAATGATTTCTGATAATTTTCAAAGGCAAGTAGGACTTGCTGATTCTAATACAGATTAAAGCTAATATTAAGCTTGAGTAAGGCTCAGGATGCAAGAGAAATAATAATTATTTCCTAGGACCTTTAAGATTGTCAATTAAAAGTAGAGGGCTAGGCTACGCAGAATCCGGTTAATAGCTTTTTCTAAGGAGCTTATTGATGGCTGGTTAGAGTAGTTATGTCAAATAAGGGAAGGGATTTAATAGCTCTGTTCGTTTCTGAGTATCACAGTGTCAGCAGTAGTCAGTTCTAAGTGTTAAATTCTGTGTATGGAGTGGCATTTTTTCGGCCTACAGCATAGTTACAGCAATGAAGTTCACGGGCCCTGCAACACTACAGGGAAGGTTAATACAGCAAAGGGGAAGGTAGTAAAGTAACTTCCAGTAAAGCATAAGGAGTGAGCTAAACAAAAGACAAAATCAAGTTTGTTTTGGCCACAGCTGAGAGGAGGAGAATGCCTTTTTCTAAACTTTGCAGATAATGTTTGTCTCTAGTTTATGCCAATGGCAAGGGTGAGTATTGGAGCTGGGCTTGGAGTTAGGCTTGGATTTGGGGACAGCTGTGGCTCCTTCTCTCGTTCCCACTCTGTGAGTGAAACTGTGTGCTTGGGGGCTCAGGACAGCTGCAGAGCGATACCAGTGCAGCATGAAAGTTTTCGGTGACTTTCATGACTATACAGAGTGGTGCAGGGGCTATCTCCACGATCCATTAAGGTCATTCTTTGTACAGTAGCTGTCCTCCTGCAGACACTCAGAAATACATTTTCCTTCTGAAAAACTCAGAAAAAGCATACAAGTATTCATGAAAGTACACAGTGCAATGCTTTACAATTAATCCTGAAAAAATGTTCCAGTTTCAGATGTTACACATGCATTGCTGCCATCCTTTTTAAAACTGTTTTCTATTTCTACAAAAAAAATGTTAGCACTTTCTCTCCTCCATCAGCTCAGTTAGCATTTTATAACTCTAATTAACTCTGTAGTACCTAATAAGGGGGTAGACCGTAACACCATGTATGCCACTTGTCAGTCCCTGTTGATCAGTCCCAGGTCTCTGTGTCACTGCAAATGTTTGCAGGTTTTATCATCTTTAAGCATGTGACCAATGGCAGTAGCTTCTCATGAGCTCTGGTAATTTGATCCTTAGTTATGGTGGTGTTGACTTCCACTGTTCAGAAAAGGCTATAATCTTCAGAAAATAATGAGAAGATCAGAGGTTTCTGATCTGGAAAGGGCAGGTTTCTGATGCTGGAGAGCAGCGTAGGGGAAAGGGACCTGGGGGACCTGGTGGACAGCAGGATGACCATGAGCCAGCAATGTGCCCTCGTGGCCAAGAAAGCCAATGGCATCCTGGGGTGTATTAGAAGGGGAGTAGCTAGTAGGTCGAGAGGTCCTACTGCCCCTCTACTCTGCGCTGTTGAGGCCACATGTGGAATATTGTGTCCAGTTCTGGGCCCCTCAGCTCAAGAGAGACAGGGAACGGCTTGAGAGAGTCCAGCACAGAGCCACAGAGATGATGAAGGGAGTGGAACATCTCCCTTAGGAGGAAAGGCTGAGGGAGCTGGGTCTCTTCAGGTTGGAGAAGAGGAGGCTGAGGGGTGACCTCATTAATGTTTATAAATGTGTCAAGAGGGAGTGTCAGGAGGACAGAGCCACGCTCTTCTCAGTGATGTCCAATGACAGGACAAGGGGCAATACGTACAAGCTGGAACATGGAAGGTTCCGCAAAAATATTAGAAAAACCTTCTTCACTGTGTGGGTGACAGAGCCCTGGCACAGGCTGCCCAGGGAGGTTGTGGAGTTTTCTTCTCTGGAGACTTTCAAAACCCGCCTGGACAGGTTCCTGTGTGACCTACTGTAGGTGATCCTGCTCTGACAGGGGGGCTGGACTGGATGATCTTTTGAGGTCCCTTCCAACCCTTGACATTTTGTGATTCTGTGATTCTGTTTCCTCACAGCTAGTGTAACATACACTGGTTTTATACAGAGAGGTATTTATATGAACCTGAATTGCAGGTTTAGAGATGCTAAAAGTACACAAAATCCTGCTTCTGCTGCCTGCATAATCAGTGTTTTCAACAAGGTAGTTGAGAAGGGGGGTAGGTATTTTTAAAATATTCCTACACATGGAAAGTAGAATCTGAAGTGACCCCAAACCTAGCTGATAGAATATAATTTGTGCTTTTAAGTTTGTGTTTAATTGAGGTGACACAAACTCTTGCTTGTGCATCTAAAATTATGTATTTTTATCGCAGCCATTTTATGCAAACTAATTATAAAACTGCAGCAGTAAAATCATATGATCCCTGGAAAGTTAATATAATAAATATGAATTACTTTGAAGGATAATAGTTTTGTAAAATACTTTCTTTTCATAGTGCAAGGCATTTGCATTAGCTACCTGTAAAATTTTAGAGGATGACATTTTTTCTTATAACAACATATTGACCAACTAAAAAAGATGGTTTCTTACGAATCTCCGTATTTCTTGTCCCATTACTTGTCCTTTTACTGTTCCATAAATGCATTAATTACTACCATAAACTGTTCTGTATCAAAGGAATGCCATGTACCTTCTGAAGGAAATGTCCACAGTTCCTGCTTTCTAGTCAGCCATGTCATTGTTTTCTTATCAACTGAGATCATCTTGCTATGGTCATGCTTTGCCTTATCCTTATTTCACTGCACATTATAATAACTGTATAAAAGAGTCACCTTCTCTTCCAGCCCTACATGGCCATATATTGTCTGGTGGTTTCATTCTCTCAGAGTTCTGTGCTGAAAGATAGGTGTTCTTAAGCTGTATTCCCAGGAGGTGAATTAAACAGTTTTGTAAAGGCTTTCAGATGAAAATAAAGGGGTCTTGAGGAGCAGATATTGGAGGGGAAACCCTATGGCAGACAATGGAATGCGTCAGAGACAGTGAATCACTTCGTATTGTAGCCACAAGTTATCTTAAGTCTTAACTTTCTTGTTCAGGATTAAATATTTCATGCAGCAGACTGTTGTCACCTGCAGTATTTTCTTTCTGACTCAGTGTTGGCAAGGTGTGGTAGTGTTCAAGCTCAGACGCAAGTTGCTGAGCAGATCCTGTAGGAAATGCTTCTTATCAGTTAAAAGGAACTTAACTGAACTTAACTGATAGGATAATAAATTTTTTTGTCTCTCAGTCTCCAATGTATGTATTTCTAAATGTGCATGCGTCTGTATGTATTAGTATCTTTGTGGTATTTCTTCTCACACTGCCACAAAATGTCCCAGCAACTGCGGTACACATGTTTGGGGTAGCCTAATTCCCAGAGGCTTCTCCACTGAAGTTGCCCCTGGTGAATCCAGTGAATTAATTAATGTGCAAGTAAAGCTGCCAAACAGCTCTGAAGAAGACTTCCGAGTGTCTTTGGTGCTGTATATGATAAAAGCTGCTTACCTATTATCTCCAGTGTGTTATGCAATAACGCTGCTGGACTTTTCCAGTATCATAAGACCTAATGAAGCTGCTGTTCCTTTAGGTTATTGGTTGGTTCACCATGGAGTGGTTATCCTGCTAACAGAACTGGGGACATCTATGCATGTCCTGTTGATACATCCAAAACCACATGTAGGAAATTGAATTTACAAGGTAAGTTGTAACAAAGAACGTCTTGCTGCAGTCGTTCTGGTTTTCATTCTTTTTATACCACACCAATTAATTTTATTATATATTTTCTTAATTATCTCTCCACATAGTCTCTATTGTGTGTGTGTGTGAGAGAGAGAGAGAGAGAGAGAGAGAGAGAGAGTGTGTGTGTGTGTGTGTGTGTGTCTGTGATGGAAGGACTCCATGCCAGCTTCTGGTGAGACCCGTGTGTCTTCATGTGACTAAAAAAATGATGCCTGCCACTGGATTTGTGTGAGAGCCGTGGGTGCCCCGGCCTGTGGTACCAGCTGCTGGACCTGCTGGGGTCTCACCATGAGCTACTGGAGCTGTTGGGATCTTTAGCCTCTAGCCATGGGGTGGGAATGCTGTGTGTCTCAAAACCAGGGGCTGGTGCAGCCTATTGGGGGGTGAGTGTCTATATCTTTGCCAAACCAGGGTGGAGGGGTGGTGGGTGGGTGCGTGCGTGTGTGTTCACTAGCAAACTTACTAGCAAACTTCATCAGCCATCCTAGGGTGGCCTCAGGTCCAGGTGTGAGGCAGGTGGGGGGGTCCATGCTGTTGTGCCCAGGGGCACCTGGGAATGTGGAGTGGCTGAGGGACAAGCAGAGGAGTGGATATGAAGCCTTTCCTGCGTCTGTGTGTTTGAAGTATAAAAGGGGATTTGCTGTTGGATACAGTGAAAATACGGGGCAGCCAAGTGTGCTGACATGCCTACTTCATATTTATTGGTGGTGTGGAGCATTTCTGTCCTCCACCTCTCCTTCCAGATTTTTGTCTAAAGGCTGACACTGGATCAGACAGGCCTGGTGTCCTGAAAAATGTAAAAGCAGGTGCTCAGCTGCAACTACTCAGCCAGCCAAAAATACTTAATAGGTACACTGTTTCTTCCTGTCTTTTACCTTAACCTCTCTTGAGGGAAGGCACTCTAAATGGCCAGACTTAATTCATGTCTGTAGTTAACGGTTAGCAAATTTTTGACAAAGATTAGCTTTTGTTTCTTTTGTCTCAGAATTGTATGCAGCCATTTGGAAAAGACGTCTTGGATTCTGAGAACTCAAGCTTTCACGAAGGAATTTTAACTTACTAAATTGCTTCTTCGTCTTACTTACTATTCTGTCATTACATAATTTCTCTTTTTTTCAGCTTTAATAAATATTCCAAATGTGACTGAGATAAAGGAAGACATGAACCTTGGCTTGACTCTGATACAGAACTCAAAAACAGGAGGATTTTTGGTATGTATTGAGGACATATTAAATACGCACAGAAGTTCCTGAGGAGAATGAAGAAACTAGAATTCTCCACATTTTTTGATAAGTCTCAGATGAATGTATTTTATTATGCAGCATACATTAATATATATTTTGTATATTTTAAAATATTCCATCCCACTGTCATTACTTATGGTCCAAAATCAGGGAAATTATGAGTTCTAACCTTTGTCATTTATCTAAATATCCTACGGAAGGGCACGTAATTGAGGATGCTGTAGTTTAAGTCAGGCGACATAGGCAAGAATACTTCCACCACAGACATGTTTAAGGCAGTCTTGTGTAGTTCTGATTATGATTTCAGAAGACAATATGGAATTTCTCCTTCACCGTACACCTTTGTGCAGTGACTGTTCTCCTGAGATGTCAGGAATTCTAGTCTTGTTGATCTGTGATATGTTTTGTTTGGTTGGTGAGCTAGAGGGGGATGCCTTTTGTGTGTGTATATTCTGCAAATCACTCTCCTTGGAACCTGTAAAAGAGGTTTCATAACTGAAAGAGGATTAACACAAGTCTAATAATGGTTTTTTACAACCTTAACTGTAGCCATGAAAACTTGCAGTGTAAGTATATTCCAGTTTGATACATACATTGTAGGTATATGCAGTAATTAAGTGAATAAACTACAGGCTAAAGGGCTTTGAGTCTTAAAGGCTTTGTATTTTTCTGTTACATCCTCCTGGTAATTGCAAAGGCATTCAAATGTTTGTTATCTTCATAGCCCAGTTCACTGAAGTACTTAAAAGTACTTCTGATCCCAACCTTTCCAGCAGCTCTCTTGGAGTTAGTAAAGTTAATCACAACTTCCAAATACAGCAACAATGCTCTTCTTGATTATTGGTTTGAGAAGATAATGATTTAAAAAAATCTTACTCTGTCTCTTGGATAATACCTTTAACTACTGTCAATACTGTCACATGTGTGCCCACTTGTAATTAGTATCAGTAATTGCAGTAATTTAAAGCATCTCATGCAGAAAAATTGTGTTTTCTAATAATATTTGAACTTCTCCCAGTTAAAAAAGAATTTCCTGATCCGTACTTTACTGATTGACTCTCCTTAAATTTCATACAGTAAAAAAACAAAAACAAAAAAAGTTGAATGCTAAGACATGAGCAGTTAGCTGCATCCTTTGTGATGGGAGTTTTTTTCAACATACGGAGGATGGGCCACTGTAGACCTGTGACTCAGCCTCAACAAATACCAAAAAGCCCGATGACTTAGCTATGGCAAGAACTGGACGACAAGCAGAGGCTGCCTGCTCGTAGCTGCAAGCCGCTGCCAGCCAGGACTTTGCTCCGAACTGGCCTCTGTGTCGGGCTCTTTGAGCTCTGCTCAGGGTTTCCTCGTCCTGGCTCGCTGTGCTCCTTCCTCTTGCTCAGCCTCCATCTGAGCTGCATCCCTGGGCTGCTTGGCTGAGCGCTGACCCAGCCTGGCACGTCCGTGGCTCTGAAGTTCTGTGGGCTCGGGTATTTTGATGCCATGTGGTTGCTTCCCACAGGTATTGAGGCACTTCTTTCCACACACTCACTACATTTTTCTGAGGCATGCTTAGTCCTGTTGGAAAGGTGCTTAAGAATTTCACTGATGGTTAATAATTTTTCTTTTTCCGGATTTCTGATCTAAGTTTTAATCAGTTTGTTCTCCCAGCAGTACTGTGCCTTTACTTGAAAGGAACAGGTTCCATCTCCCTACGTGCAAAATCTGCCTTCTGTATTTAACACTCCACAATGGTTCTCCTTTGTCCTCCACTTTGCTAAACCAACAGGTTTTTTTGCTGAAAAGTGCTTTTTGAAAAACACCTCTCTTGAACATGAACGACTAGATCTACACTGTATTCCACATGAGTCTTTGCAAGGCATTTTGTAGCGCATTTGGTATTTTTATGTCTCGACTGCAAATGTGTTTTGTCATGCATCTTTAGGTCATACTTGCTTTGCGTGCTGACTGCATGCTTATGGCCACCCTGAAATCAGGCAGTGCCTGATCCGTCTGCTTCTTTCTCTTTGACTCCATGAGCTCTAAGTTTATGTCCACATTTCTTAACATTAGCCTTTAAGGGCAAGTCTATGCTCATTTCTAATACTCCACCTTTCAAGTTCATCCATTTTTGGTATGTTTTTTTCCCCTGCATTAATGACAGAGATTTCTAACTGTAACAGTGCTAGAGCACTAGAACTTTTTTCCTTTTTTTAAAAAAAGGTGAAGGTGAAAGTTTATTAGAACATTTCTATTTTTTTGCTCCAAGACAAACATCACAATTTTGAGTTACCACCACTGCAGAAAAAAACAACTTTAGAATTGGAAAATGAGAATTTTAATTAAAAAATAACTTTAAAGACTAGTACCTCTCCTCCAGCTTCATAGTTACCAATGTACCTCTCACCTCTGTAAATAATCTTCTTTTCCAGTAAAACTAACCAAGCCTCATGTAGCAGCTAAAAAGAGTACTTATCTCAAGATAATATAACAAAGATAGTCTTGTTTGGAAAATCTGCTGTCTTGTCAAATGCATTAGGATAGTTTGATGTGGTCTACCATTGGTAAACCAGCATGTCATTTAGCTCATTTTGCATTTGCTTCTGTCTTTAATTACCGTTTTTTCGATAGTTTGAGAAAAGAGTAAGGGTGTGCTGTCCAATCTCCTTTCTCATCCGAGATGGAGATGGTGCATTTTCTGCTTCCCAGGCTTTCCTTACTGGATAGTCCATCAGAAAGTACATTTGATGAAGCTATCATTTCTTTCAATATTTTTGGACAGAAGTTACGTAGATGTTATGATTTTTTCTCGAGTTCCTAACATGATTTTCTTTTTAAAAAATCCTCCCCCCCTAAATATCCTTATGACAAGAGGTTATGGTTTTTCCTTAAGTGCCTAACCTATCTTACAAAAAATCCACTTCCTCAAATATGCTCATAAGATACTGTTTCACTGTCTTTTTTGTCTAGGTGTTTCTGTACCTATCCTTCTAATATCAGAGTTGTGGCTGTCATGCCACCAGCTGCTTGATCAAGGTGAAAATGTTTCTACAGAGATCATTTTCAGCAAACAAGCAACGTTATTTTCCCCAAAAGGCAATGAAACTCATAACTGAGGGGTACATGAGGCTGTCGCCAAACTTCTAGCTGCAGCTAAATAGGACATTGCATACTGTAAGACTGCACCCTCGCTGGAGATGGATGAAATTTAACTTGTAGATGTTTTGGCCAAGTGAATATCCCTTGGCAACAAGGCTTCTTAAATTAATAAATGTGTGTGTGTACCTGTAGACACTGGTCACAGTCGGACATAACCGCAAGTAAAGCTTTTCTCTGTCTTTCCACCATGCTCATGCCTCTGATGCCACCTACTGGTTACTGGAAATACTTCTCTAGTCGCTTGTAGGTGATGTGCAAATGCCAGAACTGGTTTTAAACCGAGAGTTTGTAGAGGGGGTGTCTTAAAGGAGCACAGATTCCTTGCAGACCAAGTCACACAAGCCCTAGATGTTACAGCTGCACATAGGCTGGAGGGGCCAGCTTGCAGAAGAAGGCACTGGGATGATGGTAAATAGAAAATCCTTCCAATGAGGAAGTCAGTGAAAGGGGTTACACTGTCACTGTGATTGCAAGGGATTTGATCTCGTAACCCAAGGGGGCTCTTCTGATCCTATATATCTTAGTTCTGCTTTTTGTGCTTTTGTATATGGATACAGTGAGACAACTGTCTGCTATTGTCACCGTTTCTTTTTGTTGTTATTTTTAAGACTTGTGGTCCCTTGTGGGCACAGCAGTGTGGAAGCCAATACTATGCAACAGGAGTCTGTTCTGAAATCAGTCCAAGTTTCCAGATCCTGAGAAGCTTTTCTCCTGCTGTTCAAAGTAAGGCAACACATACAAAACAGATTCAATTAAAAAAACCAAAACAACAAACATACCAAATGAAATCAAGATATGTTGTGCCAGGGACTCTTAATTTAGGATTTGAAAAAAAAAAGTGTGTATGCAAAAAGCAAAGTTCTATGATTCACATATAAATACTGAGAAATTGTGATCCAATGCTGATAGGAATATGGACTCACTCCTCTGAATTTGGAGGGATTGTACCAGCACAAGTGCAAAATCTGCATATGCTTCTAGGCATTTTGGCAAAACCTTCCTGATCTGAAGTGTTGCCTACATGAGACTGAAATCCCTTTAGTTTTAGATGAAGAGCTGTAAGTATATTGAGACTGAAAGTGCATTTAATGTCCATTTTTTATTTTTATTTTAGAGTGTTCCTCTGTCATAGATATTGTGGTGGTTTGTGACGAGTCAAACAGCATTTACCCCTGGGATGCAGTGCGAGCGTTTTTGAAAAAATTTGTGCAAGGCTTAGACATAGGCCTTGACAAAACCCAGGTAAGTCAAAGACGTCTTTGAGAAAGATCAACCAAAAAAAAAGGCAATGGTTTTTATCAGCAATTTTGAAGGACGCTAAGTATGCTTTAGCATAACTACACTGCTTCCCCCAAAGTCACAGATTATGTGATTGTCCTGTACCTTTCAGTTTTGTTTTTCTAATCTTACAGTCAACCTATTTCAGAAGGTGTTAGTAATTTGATTCAAAACATAAACCAACTGAAATACTAGTCCAGTTAATATCTAAGGCAATCAGATCTCTTTCATGCATTAGGTGTAAAAGTAATTAAAATACAGTCTATGGGGATATGGTAACAGTAGAACAGGGTGGGGTTTTTTATGAACTTTTCATACGGCTCTTACTTTGCAACTGCTGCATGTTTAGAATAGGAGATTTTCCTGCTTGGTTACTGTCTGATCTTTGAGTTATTTTTTTCCTTTTAATTTGCTGATGGGAAGGTAAATTTTATCGCCTTTTTTTTTTTTTTAAACATTTTCTGTTTTTGCAGTTGTCAATTTTCCATAACAGTTCTGGGAGCAAAGACTGGGGCACTGGAAATCTGTCTCCCAAAGGCTGCCTTCTTCCTTGGGCTACTTTGGAAGTGAGGTGCTTAAAAGCTAGGCTTTCACCTCAATCCTTTCTGAACCTCATCTTTAGCATCTTCTCTTTTTTTCTTTCCTACTAAATCTACATCTTAGCATATGTCTTTGGCTTCACCTGTATTAAAAATAAATAAAGTTTGCAGTGTTGTCAAGTAACTAACCTGTAGGATTTCCTTAGAAGAGGTGCTTGGGGAGATTTAGGTGCTGTCAGCTGGTAGAATTTCTGTTATTTTCTCATTTTTCCCAGAGCTCCCTTGGTTGTTGCTGGCACTCAGCTCTTCCAGAAGTAACCAAGCAAACATTTAATGCCTATTCTTTCAGATTGTTTTCATTAACATATTGTAGTCCGTAATAAATGACATACGGTGCAATTGCATTTTAGCTTTCTCTGCTTTCCAAATGTTAATATTAATTGTTTTTATATGTGTTGAAAGAAAATTATAACCCCACGTGCATCTGTAGATGTTTTACTCCAATCTGATAAATCAGTAAGCATCATGATTCTATATAACTGAATGTAATCTGACATAATCTCTTTATTGCATAGGTGGGTTTAATTCAGTATGCTAATGATCCCCGTGTAGTGTTCAACTTGAATACATATCAAACAAAGGAGGCGGTTGTTAAAGCAATGGAGGAAACATATCAGAAGGGAGGAGATCTCACTAATACTTTCAAAGCCATTGATAATGCAAGGTAAAACATATGGATGATTACTTTTCATCTATTGTGATGTATCTTACAAGGCAATGAGCACATGGTGAATTTCATTCCCACTGGGAGTGCACACGCTCAGGGCCTCTGAGGAGATTCCTAGTGCCAAGCAGAATCCTTCAGGTATATTTACAGTGCCCGATGCAGAACAGTACAGGGGTACATCGGGTAGACTTGCCAGGAAGCATGTCTTTAACTATTTGGTTAAAATCCACTCTAGTGTAAAATTGCTGTGGCCCAGCAGAGCCATTTGGGCCATCACAGATATCTAAACACGACAGCACATTGGGCCCTGTGGACAAGCTTTTAGGAAAGATACAAAACCATTAAAAGAAGTAATGTTTATCCGAGGATTTAGCGGACCAGTAACATTCGTGTTTGCATGTCAGGCTTTTGTTGAATGCAGAGAGAAGTTTGTAACTGCAACACCAGCAGCATGAAAAATAGGAAAAACTTAGAGCAATGTGCTGTGACTCCCTATACAAACTAGGTCTTCTTCTCAATAGGAAGATGCTGTTTTGCAGCTGAGTCAAGGACAAGACTAGGCTAAAATACATGCTGAATAAAACGGCCTTGAAAATGTTGTTTAGGAACAGGCACAAGCCTTCACTGGAGTTGATATCTGCAGTAGTATTGAGGAACTTGTTATTAATACTCTTCCCCTTTTGTTTGAACTTGGTGGAGCCAATTCCTGATTACTCGGGTGTTACAAAACATTAATAGTTCTGACCAAAACCCCTGTTTATATAGAAACGTTTATACAGAAAAATACTGTTTTCCCTGGAATGTACATTTCTATCAGAAATACTATCCAGTCCTACCCATTTGGATTTTTGGTTTTTTTTCTACTTCCTTTATTACATTTCTGGTGTCTCTTTGAGCAGTGCTTTAAGAAGAAGCTATCAGGAGCATAACTGAAAATTCTTACTGCAGATTGTTAATTTACAAATAAAAAAGCACTGCAGATGAACCTTGCTGTAAGTCAGTGATGGACATATTTGTTACAGTACATATACAGAGCTCCATCCATTTTAAATTGATGTGATAAATTTCTTACAACAGGCAGTATGCCTTCTCACCTGAATCAGGAGGACGCCCAACAGCCACAAAAGTAATGGTTGTTGTGACAGATGGTGAATCGCATGATGGCTCCAACTTGAAAACAGTGATAGGTAAATGCAATGAAGACAATATAACCAGATTTGGCATTGCTGTAAGTAATATTGTAATTACCTATATTACTGCAATTTTTGAAAGATCATCTGGTTGTGTATGTAGTGAAGTGCATGTTCTATATGTAAGTTATGTATAATTCATGCATTGTTACACTGATGAGACTAAAACGAGTTGAAATTAATCTTTATGAATTAGTTAAATACTAGTCGTCTTTAACTGGCTGAAAAAGAGAACCCATATGACCTGAGCAACTTCAGTGGTTTTCTCCTTTGCCTTGGTTTATCTATTTTTCCTGTCTGAATGGTCCTTTGTATAGGAATACAGTCTAATATGCAATTCAGTAATATGAATGAAAGTGATTTTTTTAATATGTAGAATATTTACTGAGATAAAACAGAAGGAAATGGAGTAACACGGTGATTTCCTTCACTTCTGCCATTTTGCTCTTTTTTTGCTCAAGGTTTTGGGATATTTAATCAGGCATACACTTGATACTAAAAACTTAATTAAAGAGATCAAAGGAATTGCCAGTCATCCAACAGACAAGTACTTCTTTAATGTGTCATCTGAGGCTGCACTACTTGAAGAAGCAGGAACGCTTGGAGAGCGCATTTTTAGTGTAGAAGGTAAAATACTCAATGTCTCTGAAAAATTGTGTCAGATTCTCCCAGCTGATGACCTAAGGATTTTATTTAACTTCACCTTAGTGTAGCACTATGAACACAAGGGGCAGCTGGAGCTGCAGGCAGCTCGCCAGCAGGGCTCTGGTTTGCTGAAAGTTTCAGTCAAGCCATGCGTTTCAGGCATCCACTGGTGGCTTTTCGATATGCATCCAAATGTATTTGGAGCTATTACCACCAGAGGAGTAAAGGTATCTTTATGCTTGTCAGAGTGACCTGTGTAAATGCTGAGCAAGTGTAAATTTAAAAAGCAAATTAGACTAGGTTGCTGATTGCAGAACTGAAAAGCTACAGTAGTGCAATACATGTGGCACCTCCCAGGCTCCATCCATCCCTAGCACAGAATCATAGAATCGTAGAATTGTACAGCTGTAAGAGACCTTGAAGGTCATCGAGTCCAGCCTTTGTCCCAGCCCTATCCACCTACTAAACTGTGTCCCCCCAACGCAACATCCACCCATGTCTTAAACACTTCCAGGGATGGCAACTCAACCACATCCCTGGGCAGCCTGTTCCAATGCCTGACCACCCTTTCAGTAAAGAAATTCTTCCTAATATACAGCCTGAACCTACCCTGGTGCCATTTAAATCCATTTCCCTTCCTCCTCTCACTCACCACTAGGGAGAACAGACCAGCTCCCACCTCTCTACAACCTCCCTTCAGGTAGCTGTAGAGAGCAATGAGGTCTCTGCTCAATCTCCTCCAGGCTAAATAGCCCCAGATCCCTCAGCCTTTCCTCATATGACTTGCGTTCTAAGCCCTTTACCAGCTCAGTAGCCCGACTCTGTGCCCTCTCCAGCACCTCAGTGTCCCTCTTGTAGTGAGGGGCCCAACATCACCCACAGTCCTCTGCATACTGTTTGGGGGAAGGTGCTGTAAAGGCAACTCTGACTTGGGGGTGCTTTGTCCCACCCAAAAGCAAGATTTTTAAAGTCAAATTCAGACCTTGCTCAGACTTACCGCCTGCCCTCAGCTCTCCCTAAGGAGCTTTTCATGGCTGCAACCTTCCTGCGCTCAGGATGAAAGCTTCCCTTCTCTTTTCATCTCCTTCTATTACCGGGCCCGTGCTGCTAAGCAAGTCAAAGGGATCGGTTGAGCTCCCCCTCTTGGGTTTGCTGAGTACTTCTGTTGAATGCACAGTACTTGAGTCCCATCCGTCTGATTTAAGAAATCATAGAATCATGGAATGCATTGGGCTGGAAGGGACCTTTGAAAGTCATCTAGTCCAGCTCCCCTGTGGTGAGCAGGGACATCTTTAACTAGATATTCCTGGATGTCACAGTATTTTTCAAGGTAGTTATAACATAAGTCCTATATGACAATAAACATTCATATTCTGTTTGAAATTTGTGAATATGCAGTTACTAAAGCTCCGAATTTCAGTGTGTTATTAGTGCCTCATAGGAAACAAAAAAAAGAGGTTAGCCACAGTGACAAAACTGTGCAGACCGATTCAGGCCATCTTCATCCTTCTGGCTTTTTTTGGTAGGGATTCGTAGCATGGTGGCTCCACATTGCAATCTGTCATTAAATCCTCCAGATATTCTGTAGTTTGTCAGCTCTCAGATTTCTGTTGCTCGTAAATGTTGTAAATGCTTTAGCAGACCTTGTGGATCTGGAAAAAGTAACATACGGTCCCTGTGTAGCTACACTCAGAGGTAGCAAGATTGCATCTCTTGTGTGGTTCTATAGGATTAACCACGTGTGAATATTTGTTTTACCAGGTACAGATCAAGGTGATACATTCCAAATGGAAATGTCACAAGTGGGCTTCAGTGCATATTACTCACAAAAAAAGGTACATGAAGTTAAGTATTTAATGGTATGAGTAGATGCAGTTATATAGACATGAATGCTTAGAATTGCAACAAAATAAGAAAATAATACTGATGAAACACAAGGACCAATTTTAAGATTTTTACAAGCAGGAGAACGTCCAATTATCTTCTTTTTTTTAAAAAATTGAATACCACAAAATTACTTCTAATACATGGTGTATATCTCTAAAATGAAAAAATATATATTAATATGTGAAGTAAGTTTCTTTAGTGTCATAGTTTTAATATGTATTAATCCAATTATTTCAGTGATTTCTGAGTTCATGTAGCATGAAAAATTCAGTTGCTCCAAGTTAGTTTTGCAGTTGAATAACTCAGAAGAATTGAAGGCACATTGTAAAGCTCGTATATTTCTAAGCAGTCACCAAGATATAGACGAAGTCTGAAGGGAATTTGTCTAATATTTATAAAGTTATTTGTTTAAGGCATATTTTACTTAGAAATTAGAAAGAATAATAAAGAATGTGGTTTTAATTTTTGTATAAATTGAAGTTTTAATATACCAAGCACTTGATGCTAGGAAATGACAAACTTTAAGAAAGATATGGCGCTTTCTTCAGGAAAACTACACATCATATTTTTACCGCAATTTTCTGTAACAGTATCTCAGTTTAGTAAAGAATTTTAATAATTTAAATGATTTAAACTATGTTTGTTTTCTGTGTACAAGTCTAAGATTATTTTATAGTAGGCCATATTAATTTGGATTTTTGATTTACCTGTTCTCTCAAGGACATCTCTTTACTTAGATAATGGAATTTTGTATCTTTTTCCATCAGCTTTTATGTGCTGTCACTGGTATTTTTGCTGTCAAAAAGGAGACTTCAGCTTTTTTCTTAGATTTTTCTTATCACCCCCTCTTTGAGTAGAGGGGTGATAATCCCTCTTAATAAGGTGGTAAAGTCCTGAATATAAGTGGTAGCTCTATCAGCAGCTCAGGTCAATTGTTGGCAGTCATTAGACTGTATACTGCTGCCTTAAACACAATGATGTAGGAAATTATGTGTAGTAACTCCAGCTTTGCTTACACTTTTTCTAAAACAAGTAGTCCTAAAATGTTTATTTTTATTTTTTAAAGGATGTTCTGGTGCTAGGTGCTGTTGGGGCCTATGACTGGAGTGGAACAGTAGTTCAGGAGTCTTCAGATGGAGTCACCACCTTTCCAAGTCATGTGTTTGAGAAGATTCTACAGGACAGAAATCATAGCTCTTATCTAGGTAAAGGGCTGAAATACAAATCTGGAAATGTACCAGATGTTTATGAAGATATTAAAGAACTTTAAAAATTCAGCTCCAGCCAGACTTCTGTTAAAAACTGATTTAAGAAAATGACAAAAAATTTGCATCCCAGAAGATTTTATTTCTGGTCAAGAGTTCATTGAATGAAATCTTTTTTGTGTTCATGAAATTCTACTCAATGGTGACCTGAAGAGAAAATCATGCTTTATCACAGAGGCATAAGAAGTCGTGGGATTTGAAAAGGCTGTTTAGTGTATTGTATTGGTCATTATGGGTACCTTCTGTTTTAATATTTGCATGTACTTCCCAAATTACTGTGGACATGAAGTTGATTGACTTGCTCTTGTTTCATCTGTGCTCACTCTTTTCTTGGCCTTTCCGTGTTCTATTCATAGTTTTAGGAATATTACTGCAGTTTGACAGAGGTCGTAATTGTAACTCCCATATATTTTTTGATGCATGTTTTAGTGGCTAGATAAAGCTAGCAATTTTGGCCTCTTGATTTACTCAAATGCTTTCTACAAACCTACGATATGCCTGCTCTGGTGATTCATCCATTAATAGTGCCGCTACATGAAGCACCTATGACTTTCTTACTCTTGAAGTTATTTAATGAGATGCTGGTTTTGCAACTAACATGCTCCTCTCTATGGCTTAGCATTACTTGCATCCATACAGTGAATAAATAACCCAATGAGCAGTAGCTCATTTGCATGTGTGATCTCTTCAGACTTTCTGTTCCTCCCTTTTCTAGAATGATTCTTAAAAGGATGCTTTTAGCACGTCTCCAGGAGGCACTTTTAGATTATTGGCTTTAATGTTTTCGCTGCAGACGATGTTGTTGCGTTTTCTGTCCCTTCATTTCCCTTCCACCTCCTTCTGTCCTCCACTGAGAGCTCTCTGTATCACCTTTCTTTCACCACCTTGGGGAAGCCCAAGTCAGTGCTAGCACATCACAGCTTGCTAGATTGGCCCCAGTTCCACTTTGCAGCTTTTCACTTCAGATGGTTGTATTCTGCATCTATTAGGAACGTGTGGCCTTAACTTGCAGAACAAAATGTTGTTTTGTTGTTGCTTGTTAAACTTGTAGTCTCCAATGATGTTCTCTCCCTAGAAAAACAGTGTCTGAACACAAATTTGAATTAAAGCTGGTATATGTAATGACCAAAAGGCATAATCCTTTTAGACTGTGCTAGTCACATTGTCCTGCAGCTTGCTAAAGGCCTGCATAATCTGCCCAGTCACTGGTACTTTTCAGTTTAACAGCAGTCTTTATAATGGATGATTTTGTTTTCTTCTCTTAAAATAGATTTGCTCTAATGAAACTACAGAAATGTAAAATATGCATTAATGCTAGATTTATAGTGCTATAATACATGTTTAAAATATTTGCAGGTATTAAAAGATGTTTCCTGAAAGCAAGTAAGGTTAGAATAATGGGAATGAGGATTAAAATGTTCAAAGAAGTTCAATCAACCTAAGCCCTTAAGCTGACAAGCTGTTAATATAGCCTGTTCTATTCAGCCAGAGCACTGGGCTGTGGTTGGGTGAGCTGTGGGAAAATGCACTGCAAGCTTTGCAGAAGTTAGGTGTTCCTCCCTCGTTTGAAGGCTGGGCCAAATGTTTATCTCATGTTTCTCTTTATTTCTTCATTCCAAAGATACTCTTTGCACTCTTTTTCCTATATCTCATTCACAAGCATGACATTTTTGTGGTCTGTGTTTTACTGAATAGGCTGAACTGTTGTCCCTGCTGTTCTGCAAACCTGCTTCAGCTTGATCTGTGTCATTTGTTTGCTCCCGAAGAGTATTGCAAATTTTATGCATATGTGACAGCATAACTTCCCATCTCGAAGCATCGTTCTCTGCAGCTAACATACCAGCTTGACTCATCTCATGCGCCTTTATGGACAACCAATTGACGAGTTGTAGTTAATTGTCTCTCACACATGTTGAACACTGGCTTCTCTCCTCAGGTTATTCTGTTGCTGTGCTCTCAACTCAAACCTCTGTCTATTTTGTTGCGGGTGCACCAAGATCCAACTACACTGGCCGAGTAGTGGTTTATGATGTTGACAGCAATGGTAATATCACAACTGTGCAGTCCCAGAGAGGCGAGCAGGCAAGTACATTTTGGTCATGAACACAGATTGTGCAGGCATTTCTTTTTATTGATGTAGCTGTAAATTGCACTGCATTTGTTTTGAAAATTCTCTTTTTTTGCAGTGCATTTATAAGCCACTTGAACTTTCCTCTACCACTAGACTATTTTAGTAACAGTATTTTAGGAAGTCATCCAATTAGTGGTAAAAGATAATATACAAAGCTACTTAGTGTATCATTCTGTCAGCACTTTTAATTTGGGGAGACTCTGAATTTCACTCTGCCTGAGACTTTGTGAAGTAGATGACATCAAAAGATTTGGAAACTAATTTTCTTTTTCTCCATTTGGAAAGGAGCAGCAAGTTTAGATGGTTTTTGCTTTGCTTGTTTGTAAGATAAGTCTGAGAATAAATCGGAGATTGAGTAAATATAAAAATATAAAAATATACTTCCCATAGCTTATTATTATTGCTGAGTAGTAAAGCCATAGCAGCAGCTACAAGGCAAAAGTATTGGATGCATGATAAGGATATGATTCTTCAAACACTAGAGTACGTTATACAGTGATTTCATTCCAGTAGGCAGTTTCATTCGTTAGTATTGGACTATTTCTGTGTGTTAAGTTAAGGTTTTGGAGTCAGGTGCTAAAACATTAAGCTTTACAAAATCTACATACAAATATGACTCTCTCTTACTACTGATTTCAGATTGGGTCCTACTTTGGTAGCGTGGTGTGTTCAGTGGATGTCAACAGGGATTCTGTGACAGATGTGCTGCTTGTGGGTGCACCAATGTTTATGAATGACCTGAAGAAAGAGGAAGGGAGAGTATACGTGTTTTCCATCACAAAGGTAAGAATAGCACTGCAAGCAAAGCTGGAATCAGTTTCCTGCCTCTCCATCATAAGTGCTGATACTTTCATTTGCAGCTGGAGGGATTTACTCTTGTTCCGTGGACTACAGTTTTTTTGAGGAAAAAGCAATCCAAACGGCAGTAGTCTTAGCAGCAGTTTCTTTTCTGTTAAACCTGAGAGTGACCAGAAGAGTGATCCCTGGCCCCACAGCCAACTGGTGCAGCAGACTTGCTCAAGCTAGCATTGCTTAGGGCTAGCTTCTTTAAAAGCAGGCTGGCCATATGCTTGCTGGAATGCCTTTGGCCCTGGATCTCTTGATGGCCTCTAAGTTACTGTTTAGTGTATCTTGTTCAAAGCGTTAGAAGTACTGCAAGTGGTGTTTTTTAATGAGAAACAGAACATGTGCTTTTCCTGGGCTGTGGCATAAGGGCAGGGGTGAGTGGTGCCAAGCCAGCCCTAGGAGACTGTGGATGGAGCTCTTCCCAGTGCGATCTCGCCCATTCTGCTTTTCAGGAGCAGCTGCAAGCTTTCCCCAAAACCACTTGTGCATGTAATCTGGGAGTAAGCCAGCTGGAACAGACCAAAATGGAATCAATAGGCAAGTTAGTAGCTAAGCACTATTAGTGACCAGAGGCCTGCTGCTCCAGGTGGCTCCTTGGTCCTGGTTTTAGGCACTGTACACAAATATAACACAAAGTTGACCATTTCTCTGAAAAACTTAGCTTGAGGCTTTTGCTATGTAATCGTCATTTGATTTTGCAAATCTGTTCAAGACCTAACTATTCCCTGTACAGTTCTAAAAAATGCTCTTCTGCCGTTTTTCTGCATTATTTCATAGACTTGCTTGCTATTGCTTATGTTGTCTCCTCTGTTCAGTGGACCTATGTTATTTTTCTGATGCTGTTATTTGACTGTGCTTTTTACTCAGACCTGTAGTAGGTATTTTCAGAGTATCTGTGTTAAGTCCTGATGCCTCTGGCACTTCTGAACAGTCTCTCAATCACTGGATGTCTGGATATGCAAAGTAAGTCAATACCTGCCATCCATCAGAAAGAACAGAACATGGACTTTTTACTAGGTAAATTGCAATCAAGTAAGTAGAGAGGAATGACCACCTTCTTCAGAAACAGCTCAAAATCAGAGCATCCTGGAGCAACAGGAAGCTGTACTCTGAGGCAGTTTCAAAGTAGATGGAGGTGCTGGTAGTCGTACCGCTGGCAGATAATATTGGTCTTTGTGACTGTGAAATTAGACACAAAATATGGCAGAAAAGAAAGGTAAAAGGATTTTTTTATATTTTGAAAATGGAATAAATTGGAAGACTATTTGTACAACTTCTAGTCTTTGTCAAATGTTTGGTTAAAAATTATCTAAAAGTTAAGAATAATGAAAATTATTCTTCTTTTTTTAAGAACCTGGATTTGTGCAACTATCTGTATTGCACAAGTAATACTTTTCTCATCATTTTTAATAAATAACTTTGCTGGTATTTCTAAATTTTTAAGGAAAGTGCGATAACTGAGGTTAAAGATGAGAATGATATTTGCCAGAGAGTTGAATTTAAAGTAGTGTAAATGTGATTATTTAGCTATAAAGATCTTCAGTCTTTCTTTCTCTGTTGGCACAGGAGAGGTCAGGAGTTTAGCATTTGGACACATGTTTTTTGCATTAGTTTAGTTAGGAAATTCCATTTCTGTTTCAAAGAATTATGTCTAGTTACATAATTTCCATTCCCCCCCCCCTTACAAACTGGTAATCCAAAACTGGACTGTGTTTTTCAATGTATTGTGAAACTTTTAGAACAGTCAGATGAGGACAGTGAGAGCATTTAAGCTTCATACATATGGTTATATTTGCTGCTAGTGCTTTGCATAGCATGCTTTGATTTTGCTGTGTAATGCTTGCCAAGACTCTGAGGCATAATGCAAACTGAATGGGCAATACAATGGGGAAGGAATTTAGGGCTGAGCAGTCCATCGGGAATGTACTGGAAAAGAGAAACAAAAAACAATGCACGTAGATACTGCCTCTACATCTAATCTGGTGCAATGATGGCTGTGTTTTTGCTTTTTCTTTTTTCTTTTTTTAAGGGACTTCTGGATCAACAAGAACTCTTGGAAGGTCCACAGGGGTCAGAAAACGCTCGCTTTGGATCGGCAATCACAGCGCTTGTAGACATTGATTTGGATGGCTTTAATGATGTTGTAATAGGTGCACCACTGGAAAACCAAAACTCTGGAGCAGTTTACATTTACAATGGATTTCAAAAGACTATACGTACCAAATATTCTCAGGTAAATAATTTTGTTGAATAATGCTGTACTCAGTGCCTTTAGATCTGCTGGAGAAAAACAGAAGGATTTTCTATCTTTTAATTGGCTACTGATTCATCCTCTTAAATGAGTACTGTTATTCTCATGGCTTTTTTTAAGTTTTGTCCCTCTCTTTACTTCAGCTGTCAGCATGCCCTGATTGATGTGGCTGTGCTTAAAACTGAAGCAAATAGAGGAAAAGGACTTGCAAGATGCTTCATCTGAGCCTTTTACAATTTTTGATGCTTGCATAAGAAGTCAGCTAATTTCATACAAGTTTTTTGACACCTGTTATTCAGGTTTTTTAGAGTTCATGTACAGCAATGAAGGTCAGATAAATCCCAGCTCTGTAAATTATAAGTATGTGTTATTCAAGGAAAAGACTTTCAAGGGTCTTTGCATATCCTGTATGCTAATTTAATGGTAATTTTAATGCCACTTTCCATGCAGGCTTTCTGTTTGCAGAAAGTATTTGTTAGAAGTCCTGTTAAGCTTCATATTCTCTCGAGTTGCTCAATGTGAGAAGGAAAAAGTTTCCATTAAGTACTAGCTGGCATACAGCAGTCAGTTAGTTGATCTAGTCCCAAGACAGAAAAATCTAGTCCATTGTCTGTTCCAACAGGGGAAGAAAAAGTGCTTAAAAGCATCTGAGAAGGCATCTACAAAAGCATTTTGTTTAAACAATGCATTACGTATACAGCGAGTATCAGTGATAATCTGTTGCTTAGGCTGCTATCTACAGACTTAAGCACGCATGTGGCAAACTCAGTAAACAACCTTTCTTTTCCAGAAAATTTTAGGATCAGATGCTGCTTTTGGACAACAGCTCCAGTTCTTTGGAAGATCAGTAGATGGCCATAGAGACTTAGATGACGATGGCATTACTGACGTATCAGTTGGTGCTGATGGAAATGTGGTTCTGCTATGGTCGGTAAACTCTTTTAGATAGGACATGCCTAACTATTCAGATGGAAGTTGAGCATTTAGTTAATCAAAAAGCAGAACAAACAAACCAAAAAGCTTTTTCCTTCCAAGTGATCAAACTAGCACACTTAACTGCCTCATCTCTCCTATCATAGTTAGCTGAAAAACAGCATTAGACTAAAACAGCGTTAGACTAAATGTCTTTTAAGCATGAATCACCAAACCATCGAAAGCCAGGGCAGTGTGGGGGGCAGAGCCAGGGAGTGTGGGGGGAAGCTGGGCAGTGGGGGCTGCCAGGAGGTGCTGGGGCAGGGATGGGGAGGGCCTGGAGGCACCCCTGGCCTGCTAATGCTGTGCAGACATGTGATCCGGAGCAGGGAAATGGGGCTTGCTTGAGAGTATTTGTAACAGCAGGTTCTGCTTCACTAGGTGCAGTGTAATTTTGATAGCTCTGCCTGAGACAGATGAAACAACCTGCATGACCTTTACTGGCTGGTAGGCTGGTACAGGGGCGAGAGTTTTCCTGCGGGGTAAGGACAGAGAGCAGAGAGAGTTGGCACTTACTTTTGGCAAGAAACCCATCTTTTCTGGCATGTGGCCTTTGCCAGAGAAATCTGAGTACTTTTACAAAATGAAGAAGAAAGGCTTTGCAGAACCCATATCTTCTGCCTCCTTAAGTATCATATATTTTCCACTGCTTGGTTAAGGAGTGAAATTAAAATGCATCTTGCATTCGTATCTGTTGCCTGTCTTCTCACCTGAGGCTCCCCATTGTAAGAAGAAAAACATCACTAACTTGCTACCTATTTTATAATGAAACAAGATTGTTAAAAATAAATGGTCAGTTTGGACTTTTGACCCACAACAGAACTGCTGCTGGTGGGAGTGACAGTAAAGAAAATTATGCTCCTTGGAGTACCAGCATTTATTTAAATTCAATTAATGAAGATGCTTGTTTTTCTTTCACTCTGGCATTTGGTCTGATTAATGAATTTCGGTTTTGATTAGAGTGTTTGTTTTTACATGCAGGGTTCCTTTGAAACTGTTCTTCAAAATCTTGATTAATTACATAAAAGTTGTTTCTCTGAAAAATAAGATTATTAATTAAAAAATTGCCCATCGTCATCTTCCCAGAGGAGATGAGTAACTTCTCTGAAGGGGAGGAAGGTTACTTAGTGGGAAAACAGGAGAAAGGCTTTGTTCTCTGTTACATTAAGGGAAGGATTGGAGCATTAGGATTATCCATTAATTTGAAATGATAAGTTATTTCTTGTCATTACTTAAAGCTACTGTATCAAAGAAAAATAATTCTGCTGATACCATTAAAGGATGTTTACACTGGAAGCAAAAAAAATTATGTTACATTTACAGACAACAACTTCTACATTACCTAGTGCTCTTGAAAATCGCACATAACCTTATAAAATTTTTTTTAGGTCAAGAAGCATTGCAAATGTGTCCATAATTGCCTCATTTAAACCTGATAAAATCAGTCTGCTGAACAAGAACACAGAAATAACTGTCAAAATATGTTTTCGGGCTACATTTAGACCTGCTAAGAGAAATAATCAAGTGGGTAAGAGTATTTCAATGACTTGTCTTACATTAATTTATTCAAAAGTCCATTATTCAAATGAGTAGTGGAATTTCTAAAAATATATTAGACTGAATGTCAAGAAAGGCATAATCAGTATAAAACAAGTGCATGAAAAAGTGGTTTTCCTACTACTATCATTCGTTCCAGAATCTTTGAAAAGTGAGGAATTAACAGCATAAAAGGGTGCTGTATCCTTACTGTTCAGCAAACCCCAGAAATTTCATTATTGAGAAGCTGATTTTTTCAACCTACTGTTTTCAACAGCAGACTGCAGACTTTTCTTCTCATTTCAGGGAAGGAAAAGAATTTTAAAATAATCCATAGACTCAGTGCAGATGTCATTGGGAATAAGCTCTCCTTTTCAGGGCACAGGAGTGCACCAAATATTTCTGAGACCAGCCCTGGCCTCTCGTGGAACTATTTAGTTAAACATCATGGATAACATCAGTCGGACTGCTTCAGTGCTATGTATAGTGCCTTTAGGAACTCAAGATTATGAGCTATAAAAAAGTGAACCTCCACAGCGTGTTAGTCATCATATGAACAGAAGAGGACAGAAATTATTATGTGATTGAAGAGAAGATGCAGATTCTTTATAGTCTCCTCAGAGTTCAGGAATATTGTTGCAAGGCCCCTTTATCTAGCATAATCCAGGCCCTGATGACTGGCTTCTTGCCTGAGCTGCAGCCTCACTCATCTGCAGTGAAGACTGGATTGATTGCCATTTAATGTGCTCTCTGTGGATGAGAACTTACGTCAGGATTTAAACCTGTTTGACTGCTTTGGAAAACACAAGAGAATTTTATTTTGCATTTAGAGTCTGCTCTGTGTTTAGCAAGCTACAAAAAATTCAAATATTTAGAGTGGTTCGGAAAGCCTGGTCAGTCAGTCTGTAATGTTGAGCGAAGTAATGAGGTCATGGTCAATCATACTGAGCAGAAAATGTACTGTTATTCTTCTTGTAGCTATAAAGTACAATGCAACATTGGATGCAGATCTCCAGTCCTCTAGAGTGACTTCTAGAGGATTGTTCAAACAAAATAATGAAAGGTACATGCAGAGGGATCTCGTGGTACGTTATGTGGAGAGTTGTGTTCAAGACGTCTTCAGTGTACAAGTAAGTGCAGTTGCAAGCAGTCTTGTCTGACAAAAACGATAAGAGGAAGACTGATGAATTTTATGTCTGTCACATTAATTTCATGCATAGTTTACTCGGTGATTCACACTTCAGTCAAGAAATTAAGCTTTCTACTATTGCTTCTTCTTTAGAGCAAGTATGATTTTATTATGCATTCTCAGTTTACAGTGTAATTACCAATTTTACCCTGTTTGCTGTGCTGACATCTCTCATCTGAACCATGTGTTTTACAGGAACCTTCTGATGCAGTGAATTCACTTAGTCTGCGCATTGACATTGGCCTTACAAATCCTGGTTCCAGCCCTGTCCTTGATATATATTCTCCTGTATCTGTGGCCTATAGTGTAAGTGTGAGAAATACTATCACAAAATGCATGGCTATACACATGTCCACAATGTGTGGCGCCCACAAACACCAAAGATGTATGTGCAAGTGAAAACTGGTGTTGTAGTTAAGTCACTGGGAGAGTCCTGGCAGGAGTGTCCCCACGTTCCTTTCATACCTCTGTCTGTTTTGCATGGCCTTGCTCACATGTGCACCCACCAGGGCCTAAAGAGCATGTTGGTTGAGTCGCATCACACTGTTGATGTGAACTTGTAGTTGATGCCAAAGGTTAGTTTATCTTACAATAAAAGAGTACATAAAAGACAGATGGAACCCCTTTGATTACATCATATTTGTTGTGGGTTAACAGCAGCCTGCCTGCAACATTCTTAAAGATCAGCTGTCATGTAGTAACATGTTACTCAGTGTTAACTTGTTCATGTGTCAGTTTTTAATGCCCTTCAGAGGGATTTTCTTATCTGCAAATCAAGAATATACTTCACCTCAAAGGTGTTTGCACTTTATTGACTGTAGATAATTTCAAAGTTGAGCCTTGTCATTCAGGAAATGTTTTTGGTTTTCACAGATTCCTTTTATTAAAGACTGTGGTGAAGATGAACTTTGTGTCTGTGATCTTGTTCTGAATGTTCAGCGGAAGGCGGATGATGGGTAAGAGCTGGATCAATGGAATTGTTCACTATCATTTAATGTCTGTAATAGAATCATAGAATCATAGAACGGCCTAGGCTGGAAGGGACCTTAGAGATCATTTAATCAAACCTCCCTGTCATGGGCAGGGATGCCTTTCAACTAGATCAGGCAACACACGAGGACCAAACGGGGATCGAACCTGTGACCTTGGTTAGGTTGAGTGTTTTCACCAGTTGGTTTGTCTTTAGGCTTTGGATGCATTTCTGCATGAGAATGCCTTTCTAGTTCAACATCTACTTAGAAACAGCAGAGATAAGAAAAGCAGTAACATTTCTGTCTAAATAACTAAAAAATGAAAAAGAGGCGTGATAGAAACACAGATATAGAAGTCTTGTCAATTTAGACAAACCCAAGTTTGTCTCATCCTTGGGGATGAGGACACTGTATTCAGAAGAATCATGTCTGTCTGGCTGCTGTTGGGAAATGGAGCCCACTGAGAGAGCAGCAGCGGCTGCAGCAGCTGTCTCCCCTCCTGCCAGGAGCAGTGAGGATCCTGCAGCAGGCTGTGCCACCCTGGGAGCTGAAGTCAGCCATTTGGGCACCACATATTCCAAATCCGTATGTAGATATACACAGATGTGTATGGTGCACAAAGAGACAGGGCTGCCTCTTCTTGGAGCTGCCATCCAGGTCTGCTGCCCACTCTGTGCCCACCTTCCCAGGGTAGGGCCCTTGAAAAGTCAGAAAAGCGACTTTGACCATACATAATCAAGATCCTGCACCTTGGGAAGACACCAGTTCCATTCCATTTTAAGAAACACAATTACAGTTTCTTATGTCAGTGCTTAAATGCGTAGAACATAGGAAATGTCTTGCTGTGCTTGTTATTTGTTGTTGGCTACGGGCAACACATTTTCATGATCCACAGCTCTTCTAGTACCTCTGTTTACAACAATGGACTTTTATTTTCGAACAGCAAACAGCAGTTTGTTGTCAGCAGCAAAAACAGAAGACTAACATTCAACGTGAAATTGAGAAATAAAAAGGAAAATGCCTATAACACCAGAGTCCAGGCTACATTTTCGGACAACTTGTTTTTTGCTTCATCATCTTTACCGGTATGTGATACCCAGCTTTACTGTTTCTGATATTGCTGCTGATTTTTGAGGTTCTCAGAGAAATACATTATTTTTTAGTTTCTAGTAGTGCCTATCCCAGGAAAGAATCTTTGTGCATACCTCTCTCACAGTTTATTTTCTTCAGCATACCAGTTTATCTCAGTCAAGGAGAGAGACTGCAAACTTAGTGTAAAAGCTGGCAACACGTTCAGTTTGACCTCAACTCAGTGTTTCAGTCATCTCTTCCTCACTTTAGGCCTTGGCACCTCCATCTTCTGCTTGACTCCCAACAACATGCCTGAATGCAGTTGCTGTGCCACAGGGAATTTGTATTTGATAAATGAAGCATGCAGCATTGATGATGTGGCCTTAAAGCACAGACTTTGGATTTAGAAATAGTGTTTCTGCCAAGGCCATGTGTTTCAGTGAGACAGTTAATCAGATCAAAATGATTGCTATACCAGAAGCTCTTCTTGTAATGAATTTCATCTTAGAAAAGGGAGAAGAAAGGAATTATACATATTGTTTTAGGGAATGCAGTAAATCTTTAATCTCAGCTGTTGCTCCCAAGCGATTCATGAAGGATGAAATCCAGACTTGAGTACTTGGTTTATGTGGCTACTGGAAATGTGTATAATAATCCTAGGGGTGAAATCCAGAGCAACCCCTGTACTGAAGGGAGAGAAGCATTCATCACTGCCCAAGAGCAACATTCTCCTGAACAGTGAACTGGCAGAAGTACTCCACACAGTGCTCAAGGTGCCTCTTTACCTCCCCACCCTGTTGTGCAGCAAAATGGCTCATTCCACTCAAGCCAAAATACCACACTGGAGCTAGGATTTTCTTTGGCTTTAAAAGCCCATGCACTTAGAACTATTTCAGCCTGCAAGTAATGTTTGTGACCAAAAATGTGCCTGCTTCAAAGGAGGCAGAAAAGCGTAAGGTGAGAATGCATGGATGTTGTTTTGCTGTGTTGTTCTTTTTTGTATCGTAATTGATGAATGCTAGATCTCTGCTAGGGGTCAGTACATTTTAACAAATTCTTTTCAAATTGATAACAACTGGCTATGGTCTATGAGTTTGTAGAATGATGGCATGCAAAATATTCTGCAGAGTAGTATTACGTATTACAGATTTTTCTACAAGAAGTATGATATGGTAGAGTTCCCCTTTGCACACTAACATCTACAGTAAGAGTAGTTAACTGGCACTGAAGTCATGTAAATATGCCTGCAAAAGTTCTGTAAAAAAGCACGGTGGAAGTTAATGATGGAGGTGACCGGTACTCCCTAGTCTATATTCCTTCTTCCAAGCCCAGCATAAAATTCTAACAAGATCATTACAGCTCGCAAGAAATGGCTTGTCACATCTTTCTCTTACCTGTAGCCCTGCCTATGCCCCATCCATCTGCTGCATCTCTAGGAATTACTGTCCTGACACCTGTTTGTACTAGTCCTTAGTGTAATACATGCCCTGTTGAAGCTACAGACTGAGAACTTCCTTTCTTCTTCATGAAAACCTGATATTAAGATGACTTTTTTGTCTGTTTCCTCTGCAGAGTGATGGGACTGAAGTCTCGTGTCAGACAGGAACAGCACAAAGTACAGTCATTTGCCAAATAAGTTATCCTGTTTTCAAAACAGGACAACAGGTACAGCTAATGTGTTTAAATAACCTTGAATGATACCCAAACACTTCTGTTGTTGTGTTCCCCCTAAATCTACATTTAATGTTGGTGAAGATTTCTTAGATTTGGCAACAGTTAACTTCCTTTTGGGTTTCAGAGGCATTAAAGGATGCAAACTAAGGGCTAAGCTTTTGTGACTCCTTGCCAGGTTAAAGCAAGAAAGGCTCTTGAAGCACATTTTTCCCTACCCACAGTTTTCAAATGCTGCTGTGTCTTTGCAACTCTTGGAAAGTGAGGGCTGGGCACAGAAGCGGAAAGGGTCGTGTGTAGCTATCTGGGAACTGAGCACAATTCCCATCAAACTCCCTCCCGGGGTACATCTTGCTCTGTGAATTTCCTCTCCCCAAGAAAGCTGTATTGCTTTGAGACAAGATAGGTGACCCACACAGCCCTACAGAGTATCGTTACATCTTTTTTCCCATTACTGTAAATCTTGGGTTATCCATGTTTTTATGGAATCTCTTCTTCCGCAAGAGCAGAAGAGAAACAGGCTTCCAGCCTCCCAGCAGTCAACTGGAGCAATAAGAAACTTGCTCAAAAGAATTGACACGTGACATTCTGCGGTGGGAGAGCACAGTAAAAACAAAATAAATTACATATAACAAGTTAAGTTTCTGAATCTTGAATGGCATTGGTCAAAGTGGACCTATTGGAACACAAAGATGAGAGTAAATACAAAGCTTCTGATAGTGCTAATGTTTAAAAGCATGCAACTGAAGCAATCCTAAACACCTTTTGATGCAGCTTGTAGCTAGTTACACACAATTTCAAAATGCAGATAGCTCATGTTTAAGTAACAATGCCAGTTTGCAGGGGAAAGCAAGAACAAAGCAATTTTGGAATTTTATAAAGTACTGAAATATTAGACAGAAATTGATGGAGAATTCAGATAGTGAGGGCAAGTGTGGATCATTGCACATATGAATAATTACGTTGCTATTGAGAAGTCCTTTGGATATTGTACCATCAGCTCATTTACTGTGTGTTCCTTGTCTCTTCCATAGGTATCCTTTGATATTAGTTTTGATTTTAACCTGAAAAATCTTCAGAATGTGGCAGTTTTAAGTTTTCATGCATTGAGGTAAAGTATATAATCATATGAAAGCAAGTTAGGTATTAATACCTTATTTGTATAAAATAATATTCTAACATCTGACATAAATGTGTTTTGATGAACAGTGAAAGTAAGGAAGAACAAGAACTGGACAACCAGGTCAGCTTATCAATTCCTTTGCGATATGATGCAGAAATTCATTTCACAAGGTAAGATGAATAACATAAACACTGTCATTTTACCAAGGCATTTTAATGTAGTAAGCCTTGAAGAGACACTGAAAAGATAGTGACATTTTGTTTTCATTTTGGAAGTCACAATCCCCGCTTCATGTTCTTCCAATAATTTTACGTGTAAGAAATTAGGAAATGTGTTATAAGAATTGTGGATCTGTGTTTACCCCTGCACAGTTGTTACAGATGCTCATGTGAACAGAAGTGGTATAAAAAAACTTAATGCTTATGGTTTTGATAATACTGTTTGCATATACTATATATTAAGGTTGGACCTGTGGGCTTAAATGTAGTGACATTGGATCACATCTGGAGTTGAAGTGATTAAATAAGCTCTGGTGATTTGTGATGCACTGTTTCAGCAATTAGTCTCTTACTGTTTCAAACAAGTGTGATTTCAGTAACAGTTTAAATTAGAACTGAAACAAAAATACACTGGTTTGACTCTTGGATAAAGACAGGATATTTTACTTTTCATCAAAGAAAATATATGCTTATCTTTCCTAGTTAGTGAATTTCTAGGATAAATTACACGGTAACATTTGATGCACTAGGTACTCATTTGTGGTGAAAAAATGCTTTTGCATCCTCAAGCATTCCAAAGTTTGTAAACATAAACTAATAGCAAAAACAAAAAAAGTATTTTTTCAAAGAATGACAGAAGCTTGGAAGGAAGAAGCTGCTTAAAAATGTGGTCTATCTGGATATCAGCAAGGTATTTGACACTGTCTCCCACAGCATCCTCATAGGTAAACTGAGGAAGTGTGGTCTGGATGACTGAGTAATGAGGTGGGAGGTGAAGTGGTTGAAGGGAAGAAGTCAGAGAGTTGTGGTCAATGGGGCAGAGTCTATTTGGAGGCCTGTGTCTAGCGGAGTCCTCCAGGGGTCAGTGCTGGGGCCAGTGCTGTTCAATACATTCTCCATGACCTCAATGAGGGAACAGAGAGCACTGTCAGCAAGT